TCAAAGATATGCTGGAAACGTTCGTTTTGGTCATCATTACACAGTGTGAAAGTAATTTATAACGCGAAAGCATGGACAATAAAGTTAATTTTTTGTGTGTATTAGAAGCGTGAAACTGAAACAAAGCACATAGGCAAATATTATGAAATGTGTTTTTCCTCTATTGATTAGCTAGGAAAAGAATAATGTAGCATCTGTTCAGACGAATTACTTTTGCCGGTATAAATTTATTGATAAAATGGGAGTAAAATATTACATGTTAAAAAGTTATAATAGCCTTTTCAAACAAAACCAAGGGGGTAACAAATAAACAAACGAAACAATATGAGAGTGTAAGAGGTATTAATCCTTTATTCCCCCACAGCTGTGTCAATGACAACGTTTTATAAAAAGGAACAAACCTTACGTTAACTATACGGCCAGTTCACTGGAAATACACCCAAGTATGATGAAGTCAATTCTGTTTACCCTGGTTATAGCATTTCTGTGCAAAGAAGGTATATATTCATGTAATGTCTTAATTAATGAATTATGATCATTCGAAACAACGTACGAACGAAAAGTTTGTTATTTGTTAAGAAAACAACGCCCTTTTTGTGGACGTCAAAAGATAAAGCTTAACATCTTGTTTTTTAGAGATGAATGCTAATAGTTAAAAGTTTAGTTGAAAGTAATATTTCATATTTATGAGGTAAGCGTTGGTGTTCTTGAAGTAAATTCAATTTAAGCGTTGTATCATAAACGTTTAATGAAATGCATCTATACTGACAATACATAAATGGTTTCAAAACCTTTTGAGAGTTTCAAAACTCTTTTCTACAGTCTATTGCTTATAAACCAAGCCATTTCTGAGCTATGACGAATCTAAAAAACATATTCCTTTGGAATTCTTAGACGCTTTTGAAATAGCTAACGAGTTGCACCGTCCAATAATTGTCCTTATTTGATTCCAATTGCTAAGAAAAGTGTTCTCTTCAACCACTATTCTATGAAATTTTGGAGATAAACGATTAACTGTACATGTGCGTATAGTTTCCTTATTTTGTGCAAAGCTGTACATGTTAGACGCAGTCGTTTAGGTTTTTTTTTTGCATTCTATGTTAGGCACATGTATCCCTTCCGAGGAAAGTGAACCTAGACTAGGTAAGTTCTCTCTGGTGTACTTTTGTAATTTTAATTTAAAGGCAAGTCATTATCTATTGCCTTTTTTAAGCCACGGACAGGGCCAATGGCTGTAAAATAAGTGGCCCGGTTGTTTCATCATTTTTCCTGATTTTCCTTAATAGAATCCCGAGTAAGACTTCGATCAAAGTAGATGAAAAAAGCATCTAGCTAGTGAAAGCATGAACGAAAGTCGGATTAAATACCCGTTGTGTCACTTTAGTACACTAAAACCTCAAAACTAAGTAAAGAGGATATCCAATTTTAGTAACCCCACTTACACAATTTACGCTATTTCTTTCCTGCCCTCCCATCCCTAACATTTTACATGTATTTCTATTGTTATCCATCTTTTTCCAATTTGTTTTTCTTTTTGACATTATCAACTAGAGATATGTAATCTACCTCCCAAGAAAGGACTTTGCATGGCATGGATTCCTCGGTATTATTACAACACCCGCACACATACCTGCAAACGTTTCATCTATGGCGGATGTCAGGGCAATGCGAACAACTTCGAAACAATTGAAGAGTGCAAGAGCTCATGCATGGGTAAGAAACCAATACGTATCATTTAAAGGAAAACCAGAAGACCAGGTTATCTTAGTAATTCATTTACTGACAAGCCACAGAGCCTACTGTTACTATACTATCACTACCACTAACTCGTTGAAAGAAATTCTAGTAGAAGCTTTTATGACCCAACAAATTACTGTTAAGTATAGAAAATTGGACTGAAAAACCTTTTGTTCCAATTAAAACTTAAGCTTTTGCGTAAAAAATCGACCTTACAGTGAAGAATTGAGTGGCATTTATCTTAGCTTAGGGAGGATAAGGGATGGTGGATGAGCCTCTTTCACGGGACGAAAAATGGATTTGCTCCTTACAAATATGTCGTAAATATATTAATACTTAGGAGCAAATATATGGCAAAGATAGTTAATGCCACATTTGCCTAGTTACTTACACCCCCTGTTTTGGGAATGCAAATGTGGCATTTACCATCTTTGCCATATATTTAATCATCATTATTATTCTGATTGGCTAAAAGCACACATTTAACTCACCATAACTAGTTACTGATGACCAAATTTGGAAGAATTTCGACTTAAACGAGGAAATGACGTCAAAAATGCAGCGTTTTCGCAGGTAAAGGCACCGTCAACCGAGAAGACCTGGGGACGAGGTTGAGTTGTTTTGGTTGTGAACTTGAAAAAATGGCGGACATTTCAATCGTTTCAAGAGTTAGAACTAGGCGAAAAAATAGCTAAAAACATGGCAAGGACAGCAAGAAGACAACTCGAAGGGTGACATCTGCGATTTGGAGAATATTTGCGGGGCTGGACAAACCTAAACGTACACTATCGAAGATAAACTGAACATCGATGGATCGATGGACGTAAGCATGTTTTAGCTATGTTTTTAAACTAGGAATTATTTTGAATGAATAATAAAACAGTTATTGAATTCGGCTTTCGTATCATATGAAGAATTATGGAGATCTCGGAGGGTGTTACCCGCCTCGGCCTACGGCCTCGACGGATAGCACCCTCCTCGATCTCCATAATTCTTCATAAGATACTCAGCCTCTTTCATTAACTGTTAAGTATTTACATATTTGCGACATATTTGCAAGGAGCAAATTTGTGCAAACCATTTTTTCGTCCAGTGTTTGATTTCTCCAAGGGTAAAAGAGNGGCACCGTTAACCGAGAAGACCTGGGGACGAGGTTGAGTTGTTTTGGTTGTGAACTTGAAAAAATGGCGGACATTTCACTCGTTTCAAGAGTAAGAACTAGGCGAAAAAATAGCTAAAAACATGGCAAGAACAGCAAGAAGACAACTCGAAGGGTGACATATGCGATTTGGAGAATATTTGCGGGGCTGGACAAACCTAAACGTACACTATCGAAGATGAACTGAACATCGATGGATCGATGGAGGTAAGCATGTTTTAGCTATGTTTTTCAACTAGGAATTATTTTGAATGAATAGTAAAACAGTTATTGAATTCGGCTTTCGTATCATATGAAGAATTATTGAGATCTCGGAGGGTGTTACCCACCTCGGCCTACGGCCTCCACGGATAACACCCTCCTCGATCTCCATAATTCTTCATAAGATACTCAGCCTCTTTCATTAACTGTTAAGTATTTACATATTTGCGACATATTTGCAAGGAGCAAATTTGTGCAAACCATTTTTTCGTCCAGTGTTTGATTTCTCCAAGGGTAAAAGAGCGTCAAAAGGAGTAAATCCTTAATATAGGTCCTAGTTTAGGCAGGTATTTTACATTTTTTGACTGAAATAATGTCGTCGCATATTTGGATATAAACTTTCTTAAAAATAGTTTTAAAAAATAATTCCACATGATTTAACCCTATATGAATTTTCGCTATTTTGAATCTTAAAATATCTTGAAAGAAATAGCCCAGAGCGAAGAGTTTCTTAACAATGATTATAGCTTCATTAACCCTCGTCAAGTCTGACACGCCCTTCCTCGTAAAGACTTTTATTCTTGGGCTATCATTGCTTGATAAGAAATAGAACACAAACAGTGGTGATAAACATATTCAACGTGGTCATTTTTATAAACTTGACGTTTCGTATACTACTCAACATACATTTTCAAAAGTACCGTTACAATTTCGAAATCTATGTACTTACTTGCTATGGAGCTAAACATCAGCAAAGTAATTACTTGTAGATGATTGTATGCCAGAAATTATATTTAAATTTACAAGCAACCGAGAGCAGCTTTACAGAAGAAGATAGATTGAAAAACTGTCCGCCTAAACAGTTTTTCAGAAGCCCAAAATGCTATTTTGTTTTAATCCTTTTCGATTTTTTACATCCGTACATTAAGCCATTGATGTTTTCGGTTTACATCTGAATTTTGCTAAATTTCGGCTTGTTAAACTTGGTTTGGCCTGCTTACTCAATATAAACCTGGAGACGATTTCATTTCTTTTTTCAGCTGACAGTGAACTGGAAACCTGCAATCTGCCCCCTGAAACAGGACCATGCAAGGCTGCGATTCCTCGGTATTTCTTCAATCCTCACACTCATGAATGTGAACGTTTCACTTATGGTGGATGTCAGGGCAATGCAAATAACTTCAAGACTCTTGAAGACTGCGAAAAGTCGTGCGCACGTAAGATCGCTATAAACTTTGATCGCTGTATGTATTGGTAATAGCAGGATTTGCAGTGATATTTGGCATAAATACCACGAGTGATATTTTGAAATTGTTATACGTAATTTCACGAGCCGTTAGGCGTGTGAAATTTGAGACAATTTTGAAATATCACGAATGGTATTTATGCCAAATATCACTGCAAATCATGCTATTATCTGTTTATACTACTAGGTATAATTTCAAATTAAGCTGAAATACCACTGCTCTAAGCTAATCAAATTGCAGAAATTTCTCATGTAGTAGTATATAGAATGTAATTTTTCTTATCTCAAACAATAATATTTCTGCCTCATTGGTCATTCGATGCTGGCCATGTTGTTAGCAGAGAGCATTAGATTCTACAGCGAGGACGACTACGCGAACGAACTTTTCTTGATACTGAGTAGTGCGCGCGCGTGAACTAGGCTGCGTCATTTTGGCGGGAAACGCCATGGCCTTTGACGTTCTGCTACGGGTTTTGACGAAAATGCCGTGTTGGCAAAAAAGGTTTTCAAATGGTATCAGTTTTATCATTATGTGCTCTTGAGAGGGCTTAGCCTCCCTCAGTAGAAATATCCCTCTTAACATTTCTGGTGCAAAAAGTAAAATTGAGATTTAGCGGATGTCTATTAGTTTCTGAGAAAAAACGAAAAAAATATAAGTTAAATCTCGTCCTGGAAACTAAAGGTCTCTTTTAACAATCCCTAATTTTTAGCTCCTCGATCAGACGTTGAAGTAGAAAGCTGCAATCTACCTCCAAAGCCTGGGCCCTGTAAGGCAGCCATACCTCGGTATTACTTCAACCCACGCACCTATAACTGTGAGCGATTCACCTATGGTGGATGCCGCGGCAATGCTAATAACTTCAAGACTCTTGAGGAGTGCAAGGCTTCATGCTTGCGTGAGTATTTCTGTATTATCCATATATAGATTGTTTTCACAAGACGTCACGGCGGCCAAATTGGTATACAAAACAATGAAATTGCCGCTGTTTTGCTGCTGCGGTACTGAAAAAATCATGCGGGGATTGAACTCTTTTCTCTTTTTAAAAGTTTTTTTCTCCTAAAAAATTTACATAGCTTACAAAATTGTTTTAAAAAGTAATAAGTAAAAAGTCCGTTAATTAAATAAGGAAGGTTGCTTTTTACTTGTACAAGTTTATCTCAAGATATGTAAGAGGGAATTCCAAACTAGTGTGGCCGAAGTCTATCTAAAGTTTTCATTTTTTCTGTTTCATTCGAAGTTTTCAGCTTGAAGTTTGGTTTCCGATAATTTCCCAGTTTTCAATTTTGCATGAAAAATTTTTTGCGAATTTCGCCCAGTTTCTCTCCTTTCGAGATCTGGAAATCTCGACCATACAGAAAGCGATTTTAAGAATGCTTATGGGTGGTGGTGGAAGAGTTAACTCAGGGTTTACAACCCTGCCTTAAAAGAAGCAACCTGTTAATGCAACCTCACTAGGAAACACCACAGGCTATCGTTCGTCTCGGGCGCTTGACTTATTGCAGTAGCGCCAGCAGCCCTACTGGGAACTCAAGTCAAGGGAGGCCAGAACAGAAATCATGTATGCAGAAACCTAGCAAAGGCCTTTTGTGCCAACACGCGTGAAGAGTTTAGTGGCAATTTGTATCTGTGATGGGATGTGTTTCTTACAAGATTCTGCTGTGTAGCTTCTCTTTCAGACAGTCAAGAGGCCAGCTGCAACCTCCCTCCCGAGAAGGGACGCTGTATGGCCATCATTCCTCGGTATTACTACAACCCGCGCTCTCATAGTTGTGAACGTTTCATATATGGAGGGTGTCAGGGTAACGCTAATAACTTTGAGACTGTCGACGAGTGCAAGAGATCGTGCATGCGTAAGTGTATTCAACAATTATTCCTCGAGCCCGGATGGGCTCTGGGTCAATAGCCCATGAGGCCAAAGCCGAATGGGCTATTGACACAGAGGTCATGAGGGCTATAACATATATAACATATAGCTTAGTAGTAGCTCAACCAATCAGAACGCAGCATTGATAACCACTAGCTGGATTTTTACTAAATATAGTTATTTCTCTCTATTAAACAAAGCGATTTCATTTCTGCCTTAGGTTGGCAATTTGCTTTAAACGATGTGCAAACTAATGCTCTCAATGAACCTTCAGTCGCTTTATCTGAGTTACATTTTTGGTCGGATTATTTGTTTTCTCTTGCCAAAATGACAAAGAAAAAATCCTACCCTAAACATTCCTAGTTCCCAACTATCCCGCCATAACGGCTATTTACTTCTTATCTATCTACTTGCAGAGAGGTTTTAAGAGCCGCTTTTACTCGAATAAAGGCCGCACCCAATCAGAAGACTGCGGCGTCAAGAGATTCCAAGATTATAAGAAAGAACTCAGTTCAACTCGGCAATGAAAAGACAGTTACGATCTCATCCCAGGAATAATATTACAATTTTATTTCAATAAAAAAACAAGAGTTTGGAACTTAAAACATCTGTCCGTTTTACATAACGTTTCTATAGTTATGAACTTGTTAATAATTCACCGTAATTGTCGTTAGTGATTTACAGAAATTTGATTCTGGAATAAACAAATTAACGCTAAATATTTAATAAACGCCGCTGCACTTAATCGAGTAAGGACAGTAATTGGTCATACTAACGGCCTGCGGCCTGGACGAACGGTAGCACAGAAATCGAAAACGTTTTCAGGGAAATCATTCAGTTCGGGGAATCCAACAAGTTCCTACTATCTGGCTTATTTTTCAGAGGACAGTGAACTAGGACGTTGCAATCTTCCTTTAAAGACTGGACTCTGTAAGGCGGCGATTCCTCGGTTTTTTTACAACCCACGGACTCATGAGTGTGAACGTTTCACTTATGGCGGATGTCAGGGCAATGCAAATAACTTCAAGACTCTTGAAGACTGCGAGGTTTCTTGTGCGGGTAAGCAAACATTAGTGAATCTCCTCTATAATTTCTTCTCCTTGTGGATTTCCTCTGTCGTGTAATTTGCGCGCAAGTAATTAAGGCGCACGTAATTTTTACGCGCGTAAATAGAATAGAGGCGATGTATGAATTATATTTACGCGCGTAAAATTAACGTGCGCACACATGTTAAAATATCGCGAAAGTGGAAATCCACCTTAACGTACCAACTACAATATCTGCTAAGTTGTTGCTAGGGACAGGGGAGTATTGTCTCCTGCAGTCACTATTTCTCTTAAGGTTGATTTCCATTGACGCGTCAGTTAGCTACGTACGTTTACGTGCGACCTTTCATACATTGTCTCTATTTTATTTGCGAACGTAAATTTTACCCACTTACGCACGTAAAAATTACGTGACAGTGGAAAGTCAACCGTTACACTCATTTATAAAATAACTGAGATAGTACGCGTGATCTGATTGGTCAAANTTTCCTCTGTCGTGTAATTTGCGCGCAAGTAATTAAGGCGCACGTAATTTTTACGCGCGTAAATAGAATAGAGGCGATGTATGAATTATATTTACGCGCGTAAAATTAACGTGCGCACACATGTTAAAATATCGCGAAAGTGGAAATCCACCTTAACGTACCAACTACAATATCTGCAATTGTTGCTAGGGACAGGGGAGTATTGTCTCCTGCAGTCACTATTTCTCTTAAGGTTGATTTCCATTGACGCGTTAGTTAGCTACGTACGTTTACGTGCGACCTTTCATACATTGTCTCTATTTTATTTGCGAACGTAAATTTTACCCACTTACGCACGTAAAAATTACGCGACAGTGGAAAGTCAACCGTTACACTCATATCAATCACAGTCTGGTAAACTACTTTGCTGCATTCTTATAGGCAGCACTGAAAAAGTGTTCAAAAACCGCACCAGAAGTCAGTGCTTCGATCGACAAACCTTTGCTTTTTACAAATGCCGGTGACAATGCTGAAGTCTCGAGAGTTTTGCAGCTCAAACATTTTCTTATACATTTTTAAAACGTTTTCAAAATCAGAAACTTACTGTTCGCTTATCGTCTATCTACTTACGTTGTGTTGATTTAAAATTGGCAAAACTACGCACAATTTAGTACTGAGAAATCTTTCCTTGCAAACAGAATGAACTCAAAACTTCTATGGACGGTACTATAAAATACACTTATAACATACATTTGAAAATTACTAAAATATTGGTTTCATTATCTCATTTCAGGTTCTAGCTGAAATACAAGTGCAATGTTGCTTTAAGTGCTAACGATAAGGTTGAATTGCACCCAGTTTTTTCCCCTTAAATGAAATTCTTGCTTTGATCATGTCTGTAAAGTTATGGGACTAAATGAAATAAATGAGTTAAAAAGGAAATTATCATGAAAGAATCAGAAAAGTTTTTGTTGTTGTCACATAAGCCTGTCGAATTTTTATCTTCCGATTCTGTCCATTTAATTTTTCTTTTAACTTAATTAAATGAATTAAAGAAAGAAAACGTAAATATTCAGAGAATTCGTACTGGCTAAACCAAACGGCACGCATCGCAACCACCAGTCTGGAATAAGCTGACAAGGGGATTTTTTCACTATTTTCGGTATCGTTACGGCCACCGAAAATTAGAAAGATTTATATTCCTGGGAAAAAAAACTTTTACCACCCAGGTACAGCTCTCTTGCACACAAACCTTCTTAACCTTTCTTTAATCTCTCCCTTACACGCTAAGAGGAAGGATTAAGGTATCATCCACCCTCAAGCACCCTCCCCGCGTTGATCGGCGCTAGCGCTTTTGCTTTCCATAAATACCCCATAAACCGTACATTTTCTGGAAGCTTAATAGTTCCAGATTATTTCTTATTCCTTTTAAAAAATCAAAATATCAACGCAATTCAGAAATGAGAAGTTTTTTGTGAAAGTTGGTGTCACTGTAAATTTAAGTCTAGGACAGCCAAAAATAAACGGAAGAAGCCAATTAAGATCGCATTCGCTTCTTAACGCGTTTGACTAAAAAACCGTGTCTCAGATTTTTGTCAAGTGGGTTTTTTCTTTTGTTTTAATTATAAGCAAGTGAAGTCAGGGATAGCAAATCATTAGCACTACCAGTGAAAACAGTACTCTTACTCGAAAAAAGAAATCAAAATTCGCAGACACGGTTTTTTAGAAAAACTATCTGACAGTAAGTTGGCCAAATTTCAGCCAAATTGGTTCACGGGTTGCCGACTTGGAGTTTAAAACGTACCTTCAACTTGCCCTTATTTTCATTTCGAGAAAACAGGGGAAAAAGAGTTTTGGCGGCGTATTACCAGTGACGAGATTATAACAGATTATAACACCAAAGCTGTCAATGTTGATGCATACCAGAAAAGGGACAACAATAGTGATACAGCAGGAAAAGGTTACAAACGAAACCCGACAACAGATGAACAATTTATTTCAAAGGCTCTGGTCTGTTCGATCCTTCTGTTGTCGAGAAAGCATCTTTAGTTATTTGCGACGGGCAGTTTTCATTTTGAGCCAAGCCAACTTTTACTCGATACATTTCCTAAAAGTGCGACACTTCCTTGGAAAAATCGACAACAAACCGCTTCCTGGAGTTTTTCTTGAAGCTGCTCTTCCGCTACAAGAGACTTACAAAAAAGTCCGTCCGATTTTTTTATTGCACGGGACCTCTCGCGAATTTGTAGCTCGCTCCGCTCGCTAAGAAACTCTTGAAACTCGATTTCGCGGTAGTTTCATTGGGTTTTTTAGAAGCTTTGTCATCTTTAAGCCATTTTCTTGATTGTAGTAGGAGCCCTTGTCGTCCTCTGCTAATTTCGAAGCCCACACTTTGCAAAACGATTTTTTCGTCTTCTCTCGTCTTGGAGTCGAGGACGAAAACGGACAAGCTCTTTTTTCTTCTTTGGAGGCATTCACTTCCAAAATCCAGGGAAGAACAGTGAGCACTATACTAAAATCGATTTCTGTCAAATTGCGTGATTAGCTTGGTTCAACAGCGGCATGCGTATCAAGTATGACAGGACTTGTCAACGATCAATTAAAATAATTAGCATAGAAAAAACTTTTGCGCTCCATAATTCTGCACAGAAAAAACATTTTTTCCTGCAATTCTTTTTAAAAGAAAGCTCTTGAAGAGCTCTACTTAATCATCGAAAAATTGAAAATTTCGAAAAATGATGATTTTTTACCCTGGATGATACCTTAATAACGCACTAGAAGGGACAATTAGCGCAGTTAATTAGGGCGCGACCTTCTGTGCGAGAGGTCGCAAGTCCGATTCCAAGCCGTGACCTCAAATCCTGCTTTAGAATTCTTTCCTTTCCATGATCGGACTATTTTAAGCTACCGACGTAAAATAGGTACTCTTTACCTTTTTACCTTCACTACACGCCTCAAATTCTCCTTTACGATTAACGCTGTTACGTTCTTCCTAGACGGCTTGGTAGCCTTCATACTCCACCTGATAATAAAGTGTCCTTTTCTTTTAACTCGTCCTTGCTGTCTTCACCAAACAGTGCTGCTAATAAAACCACTTTCCCCATTTTTTGAAAGCAGTTAGCTCAGCTCTGTATAATTCCTCAAAGCTCGACCATTTGGCCCTACAGTATAGGTATTAACAGGACACGAGACCAATGGAAATAAAAAATAAAGCTAGAGTTATCGGAAGGACATTTCAACATATTTTTTTTCTTAGTTTTGGAGATGAAATTTATGATAATTTGTCTATCATAAAAATTAATTACATTTTTGTACACAATTGCTGGATATTGAAAGCAATCAACAAAGCTCTTCCCCAAAGTTAAATTCTTTACTGTGATCAAAGTGCAATGCGCTTAAGAGAAAATGGTGGATTTTGAGTTAATATATCAGAGCTAGTTCTTAAAACAGTATATTTTCCTATTATTGCACTCCACGTTTTACCCCAGTTTATCCTGTTTCTCAGAGTTTTGTTTTATTAAAAAAAATCGTACCTTAAAACTATACTATCTCGCCTCTCGCGATTCTGTCTTATTTAACATGCCATCAAGTAATCTTCTTTGATAGCCATGATGTCCGTCAACTTTCGTGTTAAATTTTTTCTTTAGATACGTTACGTAGTTTTCCTCATTTAACGTCATCTTCTGACAAAGATATTTGTTAAAATTTGAAGCATGCTCATAAAGTTTTATATCTACTTCTCCAGTGTCTTGATTTGTTTCCTGTGAATCAATGCATTCCGCTTCAAGTTCATTAACCTTTTGCCGTAGCTGTCGGACCTCTTGAAAAAACGTCTGATCCTGTCTAGCAATTTTGTCCCAAAATGTTTTGTTAAAAAATTCATACAAGGCAGCATCGGCGTTGTTCCACTCCTTAATCTGCATCTAAAATTAAAGTAGTGATTGTGAAAGTTATTGTTTTTACACTCACTCTGCCGATGTGTGTGGCGTGATGGACCGTTCCTTGAACCTGAGTTTTGTCTACAGTTTTATTACCAGGAATTTTTGGGCTTAAAGAAACCACTCCCACCGTTACTTCTCTCTTAGGGAAAAATTTTGGCTTAGGGAAGGGGAAGCGTGAGCAGTTTGTTAGAAACCTAAACCGATGAACCAGGCCCCAGTTGTTCAACGTTGGATAGCGCTATATACTGGATAAATCACAATCCAGCGGATAAGTGTTAAGGAAATCACTTACACTATCCACTAGATACTATGGTGATTTAACTAGCAGACGGCGTTATCAACCTTTTGAACAACTTGGGTCAGATCGGGTTGGCCTCTCCTTCTTCCCCTTCTAATATCACAAACATTTACTATCATTGGTTGTTTAACTTTAACTTCTTGTAGGATCGCGCATAGTACCAACGTCACAATGCCAGTAAACTTTCATTGGTGAAATGAGTAGGCCTTTTTCAAAAATATGCACTATACTCTTTGTTGTCCCTCCAAAAGTTTGCACAAGCATTGTTTTCAATTTCTCTTGAGACTTAAAATCTCCCGAAGAGAAATTGAAAACAATGTTGTTGCAAAAGTTTGGAGGGACAACAAAAATATTATGGAATTTTTGGAAAAGGCCTATTGGTAAGAACAATTAAACTGGTGAACCTGTGTAATCACAAAGCCTACCTTCTCTTCATTGGTTATCATGGTTTGCTTGTACTCCTGTGCTCGCTGATTGAACTTAAAGTAGACGATATCGTCCAAGTCCCAACAGAGCTCCCTCTTAAGTAGAATGAGGGATTCATCAAAATGCTCCATGACTAGAACAAGGTTGATTTTCTCTGCGAGATCCTCAATGTGGTTATTGATCTCAACCGGGTCGTTGTAATATTTGTGTTGAAGACCGAGGTCAAATATTTGCCCTGTTAATAGTAAACAAGTTAGTGAAAAAAGTAAGTGAATAAATATATTTAGCCTAGTCATTAAGTTAAAAAATGCAAATAATGAGTTTTACAACCCTGTGCGCTTGTTGATTTCTTATGATAAGCACTGCGCAAAGTGAACTGAGAAGTACATTGATCAACACGCGGATATATTAACAAACGGGCATTGGTTAGATCGTCTGTTTACTATTAGTATACATGTCCGTGGAGTGTAAAAATTTTACTTTAAGATAAGGTATAATGTCAACTGTGAGAGGATTGAACACTTCTGGTGCTTTCCATTTACCAAGAAATTCCGGAAATTCCTTTTGGAATGTAAGTAGAATTGAATACATGTTTTGTTTTTGCGCCTTTCTGAAAAAATCCCCCGGAATTAGAGTATAGTAATTAGATGGAATTAGAGGAAGGTTTTCCAGTTTTCCCGTTGGTAACTAATTTTCTGATACGTGTAACATTTACGAGTTTTCTCTAGTTCCAAGCTATTGACGGCAATATTTGTGCCGTCATCTTGAATTCATCAAGATGAGGGAAAGAATGGAACATGTGTCAAATGGAACACATTGTTTCCTAATTTTGTTTTCTTGCCAAATGGACCATTCATATCAAGATCAGCATGTTATAAATCCCTGCATAATGCCCTATACGGGGAGGCTTCGCCCGAAAGGGGTTCTTTTTTTTAGGCTTCAGTTATATGAAAGTGTATGGATTTCATCAGTTGAAGTATGTATTGAAGTATATGAAAGGGTTGGAAAAACTGTAATTTCGGTCTGTAAAACAAACTGTATTAGAGCCAACACCAGAAACATCAGTCACCAGCCAGGTTTTTAGCGCAATATTAAACGCGTATTATGTACCAGACTATAAGTCTATAATCTTGGATCTTGTCGTAGAATAAGTATATGCATACATGTTTAATTATATCTTTTAACCTTAAAGGCATTTACCTGTAACATTATATTGTAAGTTTATTTTTATTTTCATTTTTTCTTCATTAATTGTAAATAAACTCTGGCCAAAGAGCTGACAGATGTATTTTATGGCTGCGAGAGAGTCGTAAAAACGTTCTGATCACGTTATGTGGTTCTGCTGTGATTATTCATATTTTAAGACAGTTTATTTGTAGCGGTTAAAAGGGATGCAAAATGTAAAAGGAGTACCATTTGTCAATAGAAGGTCTACGAAAGGTTGGACCTCAGGGCAAAGCCTCCCCGTAAAAAAACAAAAAACAAAACAAAACAAAACAAAAAAAACAACAACAACAAAAAAACCCACTTTGTTCAGTACCCCTCGGGGGCCAATACATGTACGTTTGAAAAGTATATAGAGAATATTTCATGGAAAGTGCTGGCGTACGGTATTTACACACGAGTTGTTTTTGTATCAGAAATCGAACGAGTGAGCGCAGCGAACGAGTGAGATTTCTGATACAAAAGCAACGAGTGGGTAAATACCGTACGAAGTACTTTACATGTGGTATTGTGTTTATTGTATACATACTGAGACTTTCATCATTTTGGTGGCCTTTTTATTTTAAATCTTTCCAAAATGCTTACATTTGCCGCTACACACCACGAAATAACAATGAAAACGAAGTATCAGCTTTTTAGTAGAAACCTTTCTTAAAAACATAAATGACGGTAAGGATATGAGGTAATCCAAGAACTACAAGTAATCTTAACTGTTTGTTCTGAATGTACAATTGAAAATGAGTGAATTTAAGTAAAATGGCCAGTTTCAATATATTAGCTTAAGCTTATAAATGGAAGACAAAGTAACTCCGACAAAAAGCACAACATAAGCTTACGTCTTGTTCTGTTTTTCCCCTTCCGCTGTTGTTTTGCCGGCTCTCCACAGTTTTCTTTATCGACAGTGAAACAAACGAAACTATTCCACTCCATTTCTGAAATGTTTTTCACTTTTTTAACAAGAAAAAACTCTTTGAGAAAAACTTTTCTCCTCGAATGTGTGCGAAGCGGCGCTCAGCAAGCTGCAAGAAAAGGCGGGAATTTTGGCGCGAAACTCACACACCTCTGTGGCTTCTGATTGGACGTATCATTTTTCTCACATGTGAAAAAACATCGTTCGCGATTCTGATTGGACGTATCATTTTTTTCACGTGTGAAAACCATAGTTCACTCCTCTGATTGGCTAGAACTCATTTGCGTATCAAAATTTACAACACAACTTTTTGGTGAGTATTTCTCAGTATGTATATAATAAATATGTGTATATGTGTATACATGTAATACCATTCTTGGCCATATTGAGATGGATATTCAATCGTGGTTTCTTTCGCAGATACTCCAAGAGATACTGTTTCGGTTTACTCAGAAACTCATCAAATGGGTTGCTGCTGTTTTGGATCCCCAGTAACATGTCGAGTTGATATCCATTGAACACAGATTCGAAATGATCCGTTGGCCTTCTAATCATAGCAATATAGTATGAGTCCTAAAGTAAAAATAAAGACAATACGCAAATGGCTCTCTGTTTGAAGAGAAATTTGAAAAAAACTGTTTTTTTATGGTGGAAGGGAGACCTGGATAAAAATGAGTGAAGTAGAGCTAAAAATTACCAACAAATTACCAGAAGCCATATTTGTTTGGGGACAAAAGATGGCTCAGTGTAGGGAAGCCGGCTTAACTATTGGAAACCAGTTTCGACTGGGCCGCAGGAGCAACCTTATTTAGGACTCGAAAACAGAAGAGATAGAACGAGCGTTCTGATCTGCTCTTGTGCACTTGCTGTGTAAATCAAAGAGACTGATGATAGCATAAAGAGAATCTTGACGGAACGAAGGTATCATTCCCGGTCCGATCCTCAGTTGTTTCTCCTTACGTTTTTAGCAAACCATAACAACGGAAGCAACGGAACATAACAACGGAGGGAAGCAGAGACAGAATAAGAAATCCTGAGCCAATCACAAAGCTGTTTATAGTTGAGAACGAATCACAACAAGGCTAAGGCTACGTTTGCCACATATACGTAAAAATAGCAGCAGTTTTGTCGTCCTAGTTTATTTCCTTTTCTGCCATTTGCTTTCGTCACTTCCGTGACTTGGCCTAATACACGCCCGTGGGGAGAGTGGACTTGAGGTTTGAAAAGAAGGTATAATTGATGCAATAGAGCTAGTAAGTAAGTAAGTAAGTAAGTAAGTAAGTAAGTAAGTAAGTAAGTAAGTAAGTAAGTAAGTAAGTAAGTAAGTAAGTACCTAAGTACCTAAGTACGTACGTAGGTTTACTTAGTAGTTAAGTAACACCTTAAGTTTAAGTTTAACTAACAGTTTAAGTAACACCTCAGGCTTACAATAAAACTCGCTCGAACATGCACGTGATATACAAGACTTTAGTAAAAACCTGAGTAAAAACTTTAAACTAAATAAGATGTAATATCTGTTACATAAAAATGTATATTCAAATAAAACACTATCAATGAGATCTAAAATTTAACAGCTCAGCATTCAGAAAAAAGGTCACAAAATGTAATTGCGACAAATAAAACGGATTAAAAAATAGTAATAAAGATAAAAAATAATCTAATTAAATATACGAGACAAAAGCTAATATAAAGATTCCCAATTCTGTTTTCCAGATGCAGTGAAAAACACTAGATTCTTTGAGACACTTTCGTTAAAAGCTTGGGAAACCAGAGAGGTAAAGTAAATGTATTTAGAAACATGGAAAGGAGGAGGGAAAGTGGATCACTTCTCCCCATTTTCTTTTTCTAAGAACATAGTAGACACTAATGGAAACAAGAAGAACCCAGTTAAAGAAATGTCCTGATAAAGTGAGGTACCGATTATCGTTGCATGCAATTTAAGTGTAGACGTTTACCTTGGGCATAAATGAAGTCATCGTGTCAGGACTGTATCGAGCGTTGATTAGTAGATTTGGAGACGAAGAGTTGAGATACTGTTTGTCCACAAAGCTGGGATTAAAGTGAAGAGGCCAATAAAAGTCATAACTCCCGTGTTTTGGAAGTGCAAACTCCAGGTCGTTTAAATCTCCGTATCTGTAAATTATATTGGCCAGCGTTCCACCTCCGGCACGGTGAGTTTTTAACAAAACCACATTTTTGACAGGAAAGAGGAAGGATTAAGGTATCATCCACCCTCAAGCACCCTCCCCGCGTTGATCGGCGCTAGCGCTTTTGCTTTCCATAAATACCCCATAAACCGTACATTTTCTGGAAGCTTAATAGTTCCAGATCATTGCTTATTCCTTTTAAAAAATCAAAATATCAACGCAATTCAGAAATGAGAAGTTTTTTGTGAAAGTTGGTGTCACTGTAAATTTAAGTCCAGGACAGCCAAAAATAAACGGAAGAAGCCAATTAAGATCGCATTCGCTTCTTAACGCGTTTGACTAAAAAACCTTGTCTCAGATTTTTGTCAAGTGGGTTTGTTCTTTTGTTTTAATTATAAGCAAGTGAAGTCAGGGATAGCAAATCATTAGCACTACCAGTGAAAACAGTACTCTTACTCGAAAAAAGAAATCAAAATTCGCAGACACGGCTTTTTAGAAAAACTATCTGACAGTAAGTTGGCCAAATTTCAGCCAAATTGGTTCACGGGTTGCCGACTTGGAGTTTAAAACGTACCTTCAACTTGCCCTGATTTTCATTTCGAGAAAACAGGGGAAAAAGAGTTTTGGCGGCGTATTACCCGTGACGAGATTATAACAGATTATAACACCAAAGCTGTCAATGTTGATGCATACCAGAAAAGGGACAACAATAGTGATACAGCAGGAAAAGGTTACAAACGAAACCCGACAACAGATGAACAATTTATTTCAAAGGCTCTGGTCTGTTCGATCCTTCTGTTGTCGAGAAAGCATCTTTAGTTATTTGCGACGGGCAGTTTTCATTTTGAACCAAGCCAACTTTTACTCGATACATTTCCTAAAAGTGCGACACTTCCTTGGAAAAATCGACAACAAACCGCTTCCTGGAGTTTTTCTTGAAGCTGCTCTTCCGCTACAAGAGACTTACAAAAAAGTCCGTCCGATTTTTTTATTGCACGGGACCTCTCGCGAATTTGTAGCTCGCTCCCCTCGCTAAGAAACTCTTGAAACTCGATTTCGCGGTAGTTTCATTGGGTTTTTTAGAAGCTTTGTCATCTTTAAGCCATTTTCTTGATTGTAGTAGGAGCCCTTGTCGTCCTCTGCTAATTTCGAAGCCCACACTTTGCAAAACGATTTTTTCGTCTTCTCTCGTCTTGGAGTCGAGGACGAAAACGGACAAGCTCTTTTTTCTTCTTTGGAGGCATTCACTTCCAAAATCCAGGGAAGAACAGTGAGCACTATACTAAAATCGATTTCTGTCAAATTGCGTGATTAGCTTGGTTCAACAGCGGCATGCGTATCAAGTATGACAGGACTTGTCAACGATCAATTAAAATAATTAGCATAGAAAAAACTTTTGCGCTCCATAATTCTGCACAGAAAAAACATTTTTTCCTGGAATTCTTTTTAAAAGAAAGCTCTTGAAGAGCTCTACTTAATCATCAAAAAATTGAAAATTTCGAAAAATGATGATTTTTTACCGTGGATGATACCTTAATAACGCACTAGGAGGGACAATTAGCGCAGTTAATTAGGGCGCGACCTTCTGTGCGAGAGGTCGCAAGTCCGATTCCAAGCCGTGACCTCAAATCCTGCTTTAGAATTCTTTCCTTTCCATGATCGGACTATTTTAAGCTACCGACGTAAAATAGGTACTCTTTACCTTTTTACCTTCACTACACGCCTCAAATTCTCCTTTACGATTAACGCTGTTACGTTCTTCCTAGACGGCTTGGTAGCCTTCATACTCCACCTGATAATAAAGTGTCCTTTTCTTTTAACTCGTCCTTGCTGTCTTCACCAAACAGTGCTGCTAATAAAACCACTTTCCCCATTTTTTGAAAGCAGTTAGCTCAGCTCTGTATAATTCCTCAAAGCTCGACCATTTGGCCCTACAGTATAGGTATTAACAGGACACGAGACCAATGGAAATAAAAAATGAAGCTAGAGTTATCGGAAGGACATTTCAACATAATTTTTTTCTTAGTTTTGGAGATGAAATTTATGATAGTTTGTCTATCATAAAAATTAATTACATTTTTGTACACAATTGCTGGATATTGAAAGCAATCAACAAAGCTCTTCCCCAAAGTTAAATTCTTTACTGTGATCAAAGTGCAATGCGCTTAAGAGAAAATGGTGGATTTTGAGTTAATATATCAGAGCTAGTTCTTAAAACAGTATATTTTCCTATTATTGCACTCCACGTTTTACCCCAGTTTATCCTGTTTCTCAGAGTTTTGTTTTATTAAAAAAAATCGTACCTTAAAACTATACTATCTCGCCTCTCGCGATTCTGTCTTATTTAACATGCCATCAAGTAATCTTCTTTGATAGCCATGATGTCCGTCAACTTTCGTGTTAAATTTTTTCTTTAGATACGTTACGTAGTTTTCCTCATTTAACGTCATCTTCTGACAAAGATATTTGTTAAAATTTGAAGCATGCTCATAAAGTTTTATATCTACTTCTCCAGTGTCTTGATTTGTTTCCTGTGAATCAATGCATTCCGCTTCAAGTTCATTAACCTTTTGCCGTAGCTGTCGGACCTCTTGAAAAAACGTCTGATCCTGTCTAGCAATTTTGTCCCAAAATGTTTTGTTAAAAAATTCATACAAGGCAGCATCGGCGTTGTTCCACTCCTTAATCTGCATCTAAAATTAAATTAGTGATTGTGAAAGTTATTGTTTTTACACTCACTCTGCCGATGTGTGTGGCGTGATGGACCGTTCCTTGAACCTGAGCTTTGTCTACAGTTTTATTACCAGGAATTTTTGGGCATAAAGAAACCACTCCCACCGTTACTTCTCTCTTAGGGAAAAATTTTGGCTTAGGAAAGGGGAAGCGTGAGCAGTTTGTTAGAAACCTAAACCGATGAACCAGGCCCCAGTTGTTCAACGTTGGATAGCGCTATATACTGGATAAATCACAATCCAGCGGATAAGTGTTAAGGAAATCACTTACACTATCCACTAGATATTAGGGTGATTTAACTAGCAGACGGCGTTATCAACCTTTTGAACAACTTGGGTCAGATCGGGTTGGCCTCTCCTTCTTCCCCTTCTAATATCACAAACATTTACTATCATTGGTTGTTTAACTTTAACTTCTTGTAGGATCGCGCATAGTACCAACGTCACAATGCCAGTAGACTTTCATTCGTGAAATGAGTAGGCCTTTTTCAAAAATATACACGATACTCCTTGTTGTCCCTCCAAAAGTTTGCACAAGCATTGTTTTCAATTTCTCTTGAGACTTAAAATCTCCCGAAGAGAAATTGAAAACAATGTTGTTGCAAAAGTTTGGAGGGACAACAAAAATATTATGGAATTTTTGGAAAAGGCCTATTGGTAAGAACAATTAAACTGGTGAACCTGTGTAATCACAAAGCCTACCTTCTCTTCATTGGTTATCATGGTTTGCTTGTACTCCTGTGCTCGCTGATTGAACTTAAAGTAGACGATATCGTCCAAGTCCCAACAGAGCTCCCTCTTAAGTAGAATGAGGGATTCATCAAAATGCTCCATGACTAGAACAAGGTTGATTTTCTCTGCGAGATCCTCAATGTGGTTATTGATCTCAACCGGGTCGTTGTAATATTTGTGTTGAAGACCGAGGTCAAATATTTGCCCTGTCAATAGTAAACAAGTTAGTGAAAAAAGTAAGTGAATAAATATATTTAGCCTAGTCATTAAGTTAAAAAATGCAAATAATGAGTTTTACAACCCTGTGCGCTTGTTGATTTCTTATGATAAGCACTGCGCAAAGTGAACTGAGAAGTACATTGATCAACACGCGGATATATTAACAAACGGGCATTGGTTAGATCGTCTGTTTACTATTAGTATACATGTCCGTGGAGTGTAAAAATTTTACTTTAAGATAAGGTATAATGTCAACTGTGAGAGGATTGAACACTTCTGGTGCTTTCCATTTACCAAGAAATTCCGGAAATTCCTTTTGGAATGTAAGTAGAATTGAATACATGTTTTGTTTTTGCGCCTTACTGAAAAAATCCCCCGGAATTAGAGTATAGTAATTAGATGGAATTAGAGGAAGGGTTTCCAGTTTTCCCGTTGGTAACTAATTTTCTGATACGTGTAACATTTACGAGTTTTCTCCAGTTCCAAGCTATTGACGGCAATATTTGTGCCGTCATCTTGAATTCATCAAGATGAGGGAAAGAATGGAACATGTGTCAAATGGAACACATTGTTTCCTAATTTTGTTTTCTTGCCAAATGGACCATTCATATCAAGATCAGCATGTTATAAATCCCTGCATAATGCCCTATACGGGGAGGCTTCGCCCGAAAGGGGTTCTTTTTTTTAGGCTTCAGTTATATGAAAGTGTATGGATTTCATCAGTTGAAGTATGTATTGAAGTATATGAAAGGGTTGGAAAAACTGT